CATAGAGCTTAATTTCACACAATATAACTTGAAGATTGTTTAATAAATCAAGGAAACTGTGTGTTCCTATTTTTCCCTGGTAAATTTAACAAATTAAGTGACTAATTTTTCTAAGTTAGGATCTTACCCAGTGACACAACTGTAAGATTTGGTACAATTTTATTATAAATTATGTAAGTATATCCAAGTGATACTTTTAAGTGAGAGTATATGAAAACAAACTTTATTTAAAAATTATCTGTTGCATTTAATTACTGATGGTAAAACGACTCCTCAAATTTTTTTTTTTTAAAAAAAAAAAAAAAAGTTTATTCACACCTACCAAAAATGAGTATCAACACATCCTTTACTGTTTAAAAGTGGACAGATAAAAAGAAGATGCAACAGTCATCTCACTAGCCCAGAAATAAATAGGCACCACATCCCACAGTGTCACTGAGCAGCAGCAATAGCTGCCGCCACCTGGAGATCCCCAGCATCAGGATGCCACAGCCCACATGGACACTGAGGACACCCTTGAGCTTGTTCAATGCAGGTGTTTGGTGTAATGCAGCCAGGCTTCAATGGGTCAACCTTTCAATGGGTCAGTCTGGAGGAAATGATAAATACGGTCTGTCTTGTTGACAGGAATGTTGTTTTCACATTCCATTTGAATTAAATTATGCTCTTTCAGGCAGAGCTTTGTCTCTGGTGAGGATTCTTAGAAAAAGCCATCATGTGAACTCATTGCACAATGAAGAGCAAAAGGAAGGTTGCAAATTAAAACCATAAGAAATATTAAATAAAAATTGGATGACATATTTATTTTGCTAAGTCAATAAATTCCTGTTAGATTAAAATATGTCACCACATTCTTAACTATAAATATATATTCAATTATTAAAATTAAGGGGAAGTATAAATATCCTTAATACCAATGGACTGTCAAAGCTAATTTGAATTTCTATACAAAAAAGATTGTCAGAGTCAGATAGATTAGATATAATCAGTATAAGATTCTGACTTAAATTTAAAATGATCTCAATCAAATTTAGCCATTAAGTCATGAGTAAATGGGGCTTGGTTGATGACTCAGTGGGTAAGAGCACTTGTTACACAAGTTTAAGGGTCTGAGTTTAAATCCTCAAAATTCTATTTTTCTTTGTTAATTTTCTTTATTAAGAAATTTTTTATTCATATTACATACCAACCACAGATTCTCCCTCTCATCCCTCCTCCCCCCTCCCCCAGCCTCCTCCCCACAAACCATTCCCACATCCCCTCCTCTGAAAAGACAAGGTGGAGTCAGCAAAGCCTGGTATATTCAGTTGAGACAAGTCCAAACCCTTCCCCACCACATCGAGGCTGTGCAAGGTGTCCCACCATAGGTAATGGGCTCCAAAAAGCCAAATTGTTTATCAGGGATAAATTCTGATCCCACTGCCAAAGGCCCCTTATATAGACCAAGCTATCTGTTTTATATAGAGGACCTAGTCCAGTCCCATGCAGGCTCCCATGAACTAAAGTTCATGAGTTCCTACTACCTTGGTTAGGTTGTATCTGTAGATTTCCCCATCATGACCTTGATGCCCCTTGCTCATAGAATTCATCTTCTCTCTCTTCAACTGGACTCCTGGAGCTCATCCTGATGCTTGGCTATGGATCTCTGAATCTGCTTCCATCAGTTACTGGATGAAGGCTCTATGATGACAGTTAGGGTATTCACCAATCTGCTTACCTGGGTAGGCCAGCTCAGCCACCCTCTCCACTATGGCCAATAGTCTAAGATGGAGTCATCCGTGTGGATTCCTGAGAACTTCCTTCACACCAGATTTCATCTTATCTCCATGATGTCTCCCTTTGTCAAGATATCTTTTTTATTGCTCTCCTACCCTGTCCCTGTTCCAGCTTGACCATCCCATTCCCTTATGTTCTCATCCCCCACCCTCTACCTTCTATTTTTCCTCCCTTTGCCCCCAGGTTACTCAGGAGAGCCTATCGATTTCCCTTTCCTAGGGCAATCCATGAATCCCTCTTAGGGTCCTCCTTCTTAGCTAGCTTCTCTGGCACTGTAGATTGTAGTCTGGTTATCCTTTGCTTTACAACTAATATCCACTTATGAGTGCATACATACAATGTTTGTGTTTCTGAATCTGAGTCACCTCACTCAGGATGATATTTTCTAGCTTAATCCATTTGCCTGCAAATTTCATGATGTCATTGCCTTTTTGCTCCTGAGTAGTACTCCATTGTGTAAATGCACCACATTTTTTTATCCATTCTTCAATTGAGGAGCATCTATGTTTTTTCCAAGTTCTGGCTATTATGGATAATGCTGCAATGAACATAGTTGTGCAAGTATCCTTGTGGTATGATTGAGCATTCCTTAGGTATATGCCAAAGAATGGTATCATTTGGGTCTTGAGGTAGATGGAGTCCCAATTTTCTGAGAAACGGCCATACTGATTTCCAAAGTGGCTGCACAAGTTTGCACTCCCACCAACAGTGTAGAGGTGTTCCTTTTGTTCCACATCCTCTCCAACATAGGCTGTCATTAGTGTTTTTTATCTTAGCCATTCTGACATGTGTAAGATGGTGTCTTAGAGTTGTTTTGATTTGCATTTCCCTGATGACTAAGGATGTTGAGTAATTCCTTCAATATCTTTTGGCCATTTGAGATTCTTCTGTTGAGAATTCTCTTTTTAGATCTTTAGCCCATTTTTTTTAAAGTGGATTGTTTGGTATTTTGATGTCTAGTTTCTTGAGTTCTTTATATATTTTGGAAATCAGTCCTCTGTCAAATGTGAGGTTGGTGAAGATCGTTTCCCATTCTGTAGGCTATCATTTTGTCTTATTTACAGTGTCTTTTGCCTTACAGAAGATTCTCAGTTTCAGGAGGTCCCATTTATTAATTGTTGTTCTCAGTGTCTGTGCTACTGGTGTTATATTCAGGATGTGGTCTCCTTGTGCCAAGGTGTTCAAGGCTACTTCCTACTTTCTCTTCTATCAGGTTCAGGGTAACTGGATTTATGTTGAGGTCTTTGATCCACTTAGACTTGAGTTTTATGCATGGCAATAGATATGGATCTGTTTGCAATTTTCTACATGTTGACATCCAGTTATACCAATACCATTTGTTGAAGATGCTTTCTTTTTTCCATTATACAATTTTGACTGTTTTGTCAAAAATCAGGTGTGCTTATGTGTGCAATAAAATCCCCAAAATTCTTGACAAGAGCTGAATATAGTCACTTATACACCTGAAACCCTAGTGCTTTGGGAGGCTGGAGGTAGAGAATATTGGGGCTTAATGGCCACCAGCCTAGTTACAGGTTCAGTGAGAAACTTTGTTTGAAGAGAATAGGGCACAGAGTGATAGAATAGGACAACTGACAGTCTCCTCCTGTGAGACCCAGGCATGCACAACCACTAGCATGCACGGACATATGCTATACATATACTCATTCATACACACACACACACACACACACACACACACACACACACACACGTGCACATACGCACACACACTCACAAACACACACCCCAAAATTAAATTGTTAAAAAGATAAAGGTAAATGAACTGTTTTATGAAGGAGAAAAGCTGAAAAATAAAAATAAAAATAAATTGGCCACAGTACTTACAAAGCTTCATTGGGTGCATGCTCTTGATTAAAACTACTGGGTATTAAAAATGAATGTGCTGTAAAGGGTAGATAAAATAGACAGGAAAATATTCCCATTGAAGAAAAGACTGAACAAGATTTTATTGATGTGATGCTTGCCAAATCAGATGATTTTTTGGAGTGACCTAATCATACATAGCTGAACATTTCCCCAAATGATACTCAAGATCCCTGGAGAGACTCACATGGTACAAAAAGCTGTTATGCTCAAAGTTTTCATTTATTATAGGTAAAGAAAATGAATTAGAAGTAGGATTGGGAAAAGATTCATAGGACATCGCCCAACAGACCTTGTGAGACCAGGCATTAGCTTGCAGCTGTTTTCTTTTGGCAGCAACGTGCGACAACGAGAATGTTGTCAACCAAGGAGCTCAGCCTGCTTGGATGTCCAGGGTTCTCATAGAGGATCAGTCCTGCAGGGATAGAATATGCCTGCCATTCATCTTATTTGTATCTCAGGCTCCAGGTCTCCAAAAAAGCAACCTATTCAGAATGGAACAGGGATCTATCTTGGAATAAACTCTGACATTCACAATAAGTCATGTTTTCAGTGTAGTCTATCCTATATAACCTAAGAGTTAAGATCACCCTACTACCCTACTATCAAACAGTTTTTTTTTTTTTAACCAGGGTTTAAAGCAAAGTTCTCAACCTATGGGTCACAACCCTTTTGTGGGTCAAACAACCCTTTCACAAGGGTTGCCTATCAGATATCGTGCATACCAGATATTTACATTACAACTCATAAAAGTAGCAAAATTACAGTTATGAAGTAGCCACAAAAATAATTTTATGTTTGGGTGCTACCATGACATGAGGAACTGTATTTAAAATGTCTCAGCATTGGGAAGATTGAGACTGGCTTAAAGGTTATCCCATGGAAGCTGTTTGAAGACTTCAAAACCTCTGAGTTTACTACACAATCAAGAGTTTACAAGATGGAGATACATAAATAAATGAACAAGAAATAGTTTTAAAATGATGACTACAAATGATTTGTAAGCATTTCTTTAGTGATTAACTGGGAAAATAAGGGAAAGAAATCCAACATTATATAATGGTGATTTGTTTATTTTGCTTAGGATTATGTCTGCACTGTGTAGTGTGGTAGGCCTCAGGGGAGTGAGGTTTTGCTATATGTGATGCTCACAGTGAGTGAGGGAAGTCAACCAATGAATGGTACAGTGTGTCTCGAGTATTCAGTTCATCTGAAGAAAACGGATGTTGTACTAAACTGAAAATCCGAGAACTATTTATTTACCAGTCTTTTTCTTTCTGTTCCCCTCCTTATATACTATGCTTCTTCTCTTCAACTACAATGGGGTCTTTTTGAAGATGTTCCAGTGGATTTGATCGCCATCGGCAGGACTGGGTGGATAGTGGATGTCCGGAAGAGGTACAGGTGTGTTCTATTGTAAATCACTGGGACCAACTTGACATAACTTGTGACATTGAAACTTAATTAGAATGGTATCTAATTTAGTTCTTTTTTAAAAAAAAGCTATAGACATTGAAAGTGAATCCTTAATGTATGCCAAATGTTGGGGCTAATGGCTTGCATGTATCACCACAATTTATTCTTACCCGTCCTCTGAAGAGATACTGTTACTGTCATGAAGGAAAGAAGGGGTGACGGAATATGGTGTTGGAGTGTAAATGAGAGCTCACGGCCTTAGGTATCTGGATAGAGAACTGGAGATCCAGGATTTGAACTTGGATGCACAAAAGGCAAATCTTCTAAATATTTGTTCTTTTTGTCATTTAAGCAGTCATTGCTCCTCTTCTAATCTCAAATAGCAAAATAACTGTGGGAGGGGAAAGATTGATCACAAGGAACTAGTAAGAGCAAAGTGGTGTAACAGTAGGATAATGTGATTATCATTTTTTCACATGAAAAATCAATTTTAACCTGTCTAAAATTTCCTTGAATCTTACTGCCAGTCATTTCAAAGCTCCCTAAGTTTTTTATTGTTCATTAAGTATTTCTTATCTCTTATTAAGTGTGAGTATCTGTATGAATGTATGTGCATCACATGCATGATATGCTCACCGTGTCCAGAAGAGGACAGCAGGTCCCTCCATCAGGAGATGGAGTTATAGGGTACAGTGAGCCACCTGATGTGGGTACTGAAAGCCAAGCTTCAGTTTTCTTTAAGAGTAGTATGTACTCTTAACCACTGAGCCATCTCTCCAGATTCCTCCTTTGTTAAGTTTTAAACAATAAATTTTAATGACAATGAACAATGACATGAATTTTCTCATGTAGTGAATCTAGTCAAGCTGCAATGCTACTGTAGGAAACACTAGGAATATCTTGTGCTACTAGGAGCTTTGTGAAAATACACTCAGGGTTGGATGATTCATAGAGATCTTTGAGACCATTCTGAGGCTCAGAATGCAGCTCAGTGATTTAACAGTTGTCTTGCATGTGTGAGGCCCTCAGTCAGATCTCAGTATCACAAAATAAAATTTAAGATATATAAATAAAAGGAACATTCTTGAAAGTCAACATGGATTATACGTGTAATCATAGCATGCATATGAATTTGAGGCTAACCTGAAGTACATGGTGAAACTCTATGTCAAAAATCCAACCAATCAACCAGCCAACACTGTTGAACTTTTAGTTACACTATTATTATGGGAGCCTTAATCTGATTTTTGAGATTCACTTGGAGAATTAGAGTGATTTACATAAATCATCTATCTCAGTTATCTGACACAGGTCCAAAGACAAAACATTGACAAATCTGATTGTGTTTTCAGATCCTTGTTTTGTTCATTGTGTTAGTTAGTGTTTCTGTTGCTGCAGTGAAACACCATAACTAAAAAGCAAGTTGGGGAGGAAAGGGTTTATTTGGTTAACGCTTCCACATCACTGTTCATCACTGAAAGAAATCAGACAGGGACCCAAACAGAGCAGGATCCTGGAGGCAGCAGCTGATGCAGAGGCCATGGAAGGGTGCTGCTTGCTGGCTCATTCCCCTTGGCTTCCTCAGCCTGCTTTCTTATAGAACCCAGGACCACCAGCCCAGTGATGGCACCACCCACAATGAGCTGGGCCCTCCCCCACCAATCACCAATCATAAATAAAAAAATGCCCTGTAGCAGGATCTTATGGGGACATTTTCACAATTGAGGTTCATTCCTTCCTTTCAGATAACTCTAGTTTGCATGCCAAGTTGATATAAAACTAGCCAGCACATTCACGTAGTCACGGTTTTCTCAAAAAATACTTGGAATGAATGTTCATAATTGTGTAAAGGTTCAGAATATGATCCAGATATTTTAGTTTTCTTGCTCCAGAGTATTCTCCCTATAAAACATACAAGGCAGAGAAAAATCTCCCAAGTACAATGGTGGATAATTTACCACGTTCTTTGGACTGTGATATCATTAAAGAAGGTCAGAATCTAGTGCATTCTGTAATAATCCATGTTTCCTGTTTTCTGTAATTAAATTATCCACATCACTAGCTTTGTGGTAAGCAATCCTTTCCTCACAGGTAAGTACACAAGTTAATCAACTCCAGTCTATTTTCCTTACATAAGATGAGGGTTCAGTATTCTCTCAGGTATAGGATAGTGAACTTCAAAAATAAAGAAACAACTACAGAGATTAACACAGATAAGTGGGAAAACAACAGTGTTTTTCACTGATGAATCAGTCTGAGAAGTGTTTTTAATACGGGAAAGTAGCATACAATACTAGGAACAAACACATTCTTGGTCATTGATAGTACTAGTGCTTAAATTTCACAATACAATCACATGTACTCGTTTTCATATTGTACTTCAGAATTACAGTAGTATTAAACTTACTAAACTATTACAGATTTTTTTAAAGAATATAAAAGGAAATCTAAAATACTTTCTTAGTTCTCACGTCCATTAAACCAACTAATTCTTTTTATTTATTTATTTTTTAAATGTATTTTTATTTTATAATTAATTTAATTTTACGTATCAGCCATGGATTCCCCTGTCCTCCCTCCTCTCCCCCCCCCCCCCCCCCCAATGCTACCCACATTTCCACCTCCTCCAAGGCAAGGTCTCCTCTGGGGATTCAGGTCAGCCTGGCAAAATGTCTCAGCATAGGCCCTAGGTTCCACAAAGCCAGCTCATGTACTAAGGACAGGTCCCAGTCCCACTGCCTGGTGGCTTCCTAAATGTTAAAGCTAATCAACTGTCTCACTTATCCAGAGGGCCTGATGCAGTTCCATGTGGGCTCCTCAGCTATTGGTTCACCGTTCATGTGTTTCCACTAATTCTTTTACCACCACCATCACAGTGGTCTCCACATTAGTCTAAATGACCCACAGCTCTGGCCTGGACTATCCTGACAGTTGTCATATTGGCCTTTTTGCTACACAACCTACAGCCAGAGTATTTTTCCAACACAATATGTAGATATTATATCACTGACTAATAAATTCACTGTGTTGCATGTGTTTTTCTACTTAACTGAACCAAGTGAGCTGGTAAATCCTGTGTAGCTGTAAGTTTCTTGGGTCCTGCCTGGCCCCCTGCCGTCCAGACAAATCTCTCTCACCCATGGTCCTACATTCATGATGAAGTAAATACACAGAGGCTTATATTACTTCCAAACTGTATGGCCTATTGGTTCAGGCTTCTTGCTAGCTAGCTCTTTCAACTTAACTCATTTCTATTAATCTATAAGTTGTCATATGGCCATGGCTTACCGGTACTTTCACATCTTGCTTCTCCTGGTGGTGCTGGTGTCTCCCTAGACTCTGCCTTTCTCTTTCTTGTCTCTCTCCTTGGATTTCCAGCCTGCCTCTAATCTGCCTTGCCGTAGGCCAAGGCACAATGGAAACAACATATATTCACAGCATACAGAAAGGCATCCCCCAGCATTTGTGCATAACAAGTACATTTCAAATGTACAGAGCAGGAGCTTCTTAGTTTTATGGCGGTGTGTGTGGGGGGGGGGGGGGAGGTTGCCTGCATATTTTGCTGCTATGTGAGTGAATTGCCAGGAGAGGGCATCAGATCCCCTGGAATTGAAGTTATAGATGATTGTGAGCCACTGCATGAGAGCTAGGAATTGAATCTGGGTCCTCTGGAAGAGCAGTCAGTTCTCTTAATTACTGAGCCATCTCTTTAGCCTCCACTGTCAATATTTTATAAATCTTATAAATATCTTAATCCTTGTCATTCACATTAAAGTCTTCACTATAGTGTGAGATGTGTTGGCATTTTAGGTTCTGAATTTCTGTTTAGTTTCAGTAGCAGACACAAATTGTTTATTGGTTTTGCTAACTCTGTATCAGACTTTTCTCTTTCTGTTCCTTTCCATTTCATGTCATTAGAAATGTGCATTAATTTCATCTTAGTCTGTGGGAATCCCCCTGCCTGAGTAGACTATGCTTTCTGACAAAGAGAGTCAGCCTATAGGACTCATGGGTTTCAGGATACCCCTGGTTCTGCCGTCACAAGAGAAGGTTTCTATTTATTACCTCAACTACTGCTGATGCAAGGTTGGTCTCCTTTAAGCAATATTTATTGACATTTGTTCCTCCAGGCCAACACTGCTTTTATATTTGTGCTTTTAACTGTTACTTAATGTATTTTATTCCTACTGTCTTTAGAGCATATAGGGCTTTGGGGAGGAATGATGGGAAGATAATTAAAACGCATATTTAGAGATTTTCTCATGTCTTGAAAAGTCTAATACTGGTTTAATTTACATTATATACACAACCATCTTCTTTTGTAAATGCAAAAGCAAACCAAATCCAAAATTTCACCTTAAACCCAATGATGTTTAACAATAACTACTCATTGAGAGCAATAGATAGCATATCCCACCTCAGACTTCTTTATTTTGAGATGTCCAGGATATCCACATGAATATGTCTTTTCAGTCAATGAATGATTGAGCTCAGTTTTCAAGAGAAGAAGATCAACTTGAGATGCAGATTTGTAAACATCCAATGTCAAGATGTTAAACGAAATCCTGGGTATAGAGATGGAAGTGCATGAAAAAACACAGAGTGAAAGGGAAGGCCAAGCAATATCCATAAGAATTACAAACCTTAAGGGAGGTAGAATGAGAAGGAAGCAAAAGAGCTGTAAGAGAGGAGTCAAAGGATAAGTGGGTGTGTGTCACAGAAACTGAGAGTGGGCATCTGTGTTCACCAATGTGAATTAGCCATAGGTGTCCATTGGGAGGTTTAGGAACTATAGAGATATGTGGAAACACTGATAGGAGACATTCCAAGTTGAACATACTACAGTAGCACTGTAACTAAGTGAGGAAACCAAAAATCTGAGATGACCAAGATACAACAAACTGCTAGGAAGTCTGAATATGACTGGATGGAAGAGTAGAATAATGCAATGCCAGGATGTATTGTGGAGCATTGTGTGTGTGTGTGGGGGGGAGATAGAGTATAAGATTAGGCATGCTTACATATGTTTGAATGTTAGCAATGACAAATCATCAGAGAATGACGAATGACTGATGTTGAAAAGAAAAAAAAATCATCCAAATATCAAGTTTACAAAACCCAAAGTGTGGACTGAATTGAATGCAGCTGGAAAGAATATCTATAAGGAATTTTGGTAGCTGCCCTCTGGAATAGAAGAAAGGGGGCATATGTTCAGGCACAAACAAGTATGATGTGTAAAGAAATCCTGCTGATGGTCTCTTTCATCAAGGCTATGAAAGGTGAACCCAGGGCAAAACAGGGAGAATCACTGTGGGATTGTGGTTGTTAAGTAGAGTGAAGGAACTGGTACTCTGGCTTTAAACACACGATTATCCAAACACAAAATCTTTTCCAGGCACCATTGATTTTCTGAATGAGAATGCTGAGTAGTTTGTGGAGTTTCCAGTGGGGGTGACCATTCTGTCCTGCCTGCCTTTGGAGTGGGCAAGGTTAAGGAAGATTTTTCGCTTTGTCCAGAATTGGGCATTTTCCAACAAGGTGCTTAAAAATATGAGAAACTTGAAGGTATCGAAAAGTTAGGTGGAGATGCTGGAAGAAGGGAGATTAACGTAGAGCAATTCTCATGAGTTCAAAGGAGAAGAATTTCTGTAGAAAGACAAGTGGAATGAAACAAGATAAATGGGCTTTGAGAACAGTTCTGGAGATTTCCATCTGAATAACAGGAAATGTGGATTATAGCTAGTGAGAAGTCAGAGCTAAAGGGATCTTTGAGTCTTTGGAGCTGAGAAGATAGGGCGATTTGAGGAGAGAACAAGCCTAAACCTGTAGTATATCTGACTAATGAAAAAGCTGCTTCCCAGGGACTCTTCATTCACTGCTGATAAGATTCTTCATCCTCCACTAATGCCAAGACAGTTACTTATTAATAATTTTCGAAAATGTCCTGAGTCCCGCCCATGTTTAGAGCGGCCACCTTCTAATGGAGAGATGGGGTCTTTCAAGCCCAAAGAGACTGTTCACAACATCAACTTTTAACTATAGAATCTGAAGTTCTTATTTGTGAAAGTTGTGGGATTTACTTTTTTGGGTTATGAATGAATGAGTGAGTAAATAAATAAATAAGTAAGTAAGTAAATAAATAAAAATGCAGGAAATGTTTATCTCCCTGGTATCTTCTGTATAGCCCTGCTCGGAAGAATTAAGCTGTGTTTAAATGAGGGCTTTATCTGTGTGGTTTTGGATATTTCATAGGAGAAAACAAAATTTAAAATTTCTGCTCAACTTGGAGATTAATTTTGAGGTCATAAAAGAGCCTGGGGCAACGAGGAAATGTTTAAGATATAGCATTGTCCCTTTGTCCATCCAAATAGGTGTTAAATCTTCTCTATAGGCACATGCTTTTTTTCTAACTTTAACTTCTTTTACTTTTCGACATTACATATTTCTTAGATATATCTATCATATAAAGAAAGGCGAGATAAAGAATAATACAAAAAGTTAAACACAGATGAAAATGATGATTCCAAATATCTAAAGAAGTATGTAATTTGTTGTAATTTGTTACATCCCCCTCTCTCTTATCTTATATTCTTCATAAATTAGCAAAATGTATAAATAGTCTGACCCCAAAATGATTCATTGTTTCTATCAATTTGAGATGTTTTTGTGCTTTACAGTCCAATTTCTTTTATGTAAGTTTAAAAGACACAAATGTGTCCAGTCTGCTGATTTTCACTTCTGTGTCTCCTGCTAGTCAAAAGAGAAGATGTGTGAGAGCACAGAGCCAGTGGAGGCATCTCAAACCACCACGACCTCACACACAACGACCATGCAATTCAGAGTCCTGACCACCACCAGGAGAGCCGTGACATCCCAGCTGCCCACCAGCCTGCCCACGGAAGGTGCCAAGATGGTTTGCTTATTTTTATAGGAAAGAAAAGATTAATGGGTAACTCTTGTTTACTGGAGGAAAAGAATATTCTTTGGCCAATTAACTTTCCAAAGGATTTCTCAGATTCTGAATTACTCTGGGCTGAAAACATATGCTGAAATTCTTTATATATGTCATTTCTCTTGCTAAGCATTAGTGGTTATGAGTAATCTGGCTCTTTGTTCCCCCTAGAAAAGAACCATTTGCTTCTTTTTATGTGACTAAATTTAGTTGTCGCCAGACTACATTCCTGACACAGGATTCAAAAGAAATATGCACATAAAATGACTATTGATATGAAATTCTGAGCAGTAGATCATTTTACTAACATACAGTTATATAGTAGTATTTTCTGAATGCAGTCAATCACAGAGACACTGTGAGCATCACAAAATTGTTCTTGAAGGGTACCTCCTTTTATGGAGAAAATAAAACTACTAAAGTTTTTTTAGGTAAAATTCATGTGTGGAGGAAATTTAATAGTCAATATTTGATAACTTTCTATTCTATATGGTATTAGTAAGAAGGAGGGGCTACAGTATTTATTTAGGGGAGAACATACTTTCATATCTTATTGTCATAAGCGCTGCTTTCTTTGGAATAGGAAGTTAAATTTGAAGCCTTAGCTTTTGACTGAAATTTAAGTGGCTATTATAAAGTAAGTGGAGTGAAGAGAGATGGAGGTTAAATGCCAACTGCTTTGTTTTTCTCTTAAAAGAAACATATAGTTAAATTCAAATTATTTTGGGTCATTATTCTAAAGACTGTGAAAAAATGCTTTAGTTGAAACACTAACTTTCATAGTAAAATATAACTTTTGAAATGGAAAATTATACCCCATGTTTATCCATTCAGGTATCGATGTATCCATTACTGATGTAAATTTTTAAGATAAGCCTTTAAATATTGATTAATCCTAGCTGTTCCTCTTAATCTATAATACTTTCAGTCATGATTTCAATAAATAATGTCCTATTGTAATTGTTTTAGAAAGTTAAAAACCTATTTCATGCTACAACTACAGTTTTTATCATTCTCACAGAGTTGGGGCTCAGATATGTAACTAATACCTTAATCCAAATAAACACTGAGAGAAATTTTATTGCTGCATCATGTAAAATTGGTGCTTGCTCTCTCACTAAGCTAGAATTTATTCTCTAAATTCTGAACAGCAAGTGTTTGAGTTAAGGCAGTTAATTCAGTTAGCCAATATGAGATTCAAGCACCTTTAAAATCTTTTTCTTTTGTAATAACGTCCAACTTCTCTTTCAGATGACACAAAGATAGCACTGCATCTCAAAGATAATGGAGGTAGGAGTGCTTATCTTTCTTTCGTAAACATTTGTAAGACACTAATTCATTTTAATGGGATAAAAGGGCATGTGGGATTCCAAAGACAGAATAGGGTTTGATTTCATTCCAATTGGTGTTTAACATGTGAAGAATTCAGTGGTTTGGGTCAAAAATGAAACAAAATCCTAATCCTTGTGTTTGTCTATACAATTGCATGACATCAGCCACCATCTATGAGGTCAGACAATCATCCACACATATTGCTGCATTGTGTTGCCCTTCTCCTTAGGTCAGCATGTGTATAGTTATCTGCACAGCTGCAGACACTTGTTACAAAAGTTTTCTTTCACTGAATTGTATGGTTGGTTGATTTGCACAAACAATTAAAAAAAGGACAGTAAGTATGGAAATATATTGTGATCAATCTTTTCATCTGTTATGTGATGCAAAGGACAAAATTTAAATATTCAAAAGAACATGTTACAAGTAACAAAGTTTTTCTAAGAGAATTTAGGAGTATCTATACTGGCACTTGAAATTTTGAAGAAAATGGATTTTTAACTAAACAATACCATGAAAAATATTAATTTTGTTTTTTAAAATGTACTTTTATTAAACTATATTAGCTCATGGCTATGATAGATACTGATCAAATGTATTTTTATGAAAAATTCTTTATTTGCTTCAAGGAAATATTGCTATTTCTTAATAGTATCTATCATACAGACATGAAAACACTTTGACACTGGCCTATGCATGGGTTACTTCTGTAGTCTCATATGATTTATTAGCTGAACCTCATACAAGAGACTCAAGTAGTATGATGATGAGTTAAAGATCAGTCTCAGATAAGTAAGGAGAGCTTGTCTCAAAAATAACAACAAAAATTGACAGAGAAGGGAGAAAGGAAAAAATAGATGATAGATGACAGATGACAGACAGACAGACAAACAGACAGATCTATCGATAGATGATAGATAGATAGAAAGACAGACAGATAGATAGATAGATAGATAGATAGATAGATAGATAGATAGATAGATAGATAGATAGATGATTGATAGAGGATGTAGTTGAGGCTATTTCCCTTGTAACTGTAGAAAATCGTTCCTAAACCACTCAATCTGTATTAAATAACCAATGGTCTGTGCATTCTTAGGTCAATGCTTATGTGTATGTACATCCTAGAGTTTACACCAGACCATCTAAATCAACAGCTTGATTTCTCTATAAGTGTCATTGCACCAGTTGTCTACCATTTCATACTTGCCCAGCATGTTTTGATGCATTAATTTTTTATTCATTATTGCATTAAATCAGTAAATGGGTATATTTGTAGATGGCCCTTGTGAATTACAGTTGTAAAAATCTAAAATCACAGGTTACAAAAGTTGTTAGCAATTCCCCAATTCAAGATTTTCCAGAGAAGGATGTTGATAAGTATCTTTTGATCCTAAGTCCTAATATCAGGTCACCCCACTTTCAGGAATGAGGAGATGTCGTATTCTGTGAAGTGGGGTGTTCATTCACACTGCTTCTGAAGTCCTCTGTCTATGTAAGGAAGGCATTCCCAAGATACTGCTGGGTTTTCTGTTATATTTGTGATGTTAAAATTCTTAACACAAGTAGAAGTTTCATGTTTGTTGTATTTTTCTTTCTTAGTTATTCTGTTTGTTTGCTTGTTTGTTTGTTTAATTTTAACCCGCTCAGAAGATTCTATAGTGTTAACAGGGAAAAAATGATTCCTGTGATATTTTGTTAATAAGTATGAGATCCTCTGAGTGGATGATTATTAAAGTTTCTTCAGTGAAGAATTGTTTACCACCTTGGTTCACTCACTCATCCATTTAATCATATCTTATGAATGCTTGCTATACCAAGCATTGTTGCAGGCTTGAAGCTTATAATAATGGGTGATTGTTAAATAAATTCTTTACTTCAGTGAATATGTCCTCCAAAGAATCTTCAAGATGATTGTGAAGATATTCTGTCTATCATTTCTCCAGTATTTGGCTATAAAATTGTCTTACAAGTAGCCTCTCACAGAATTAATTTTTGTAGAATGCACATTGAAAGTAGATCCCTAACATATTACCAATTATTCCCAGTAACATCTTAGTTTTATTTAAAGCATTAAAGGATCACACAACAAAATATGTTCTTGAACTGTGCATTAGAAATAGAGTGTGATGGTGGTGAGAGGGGAATTAAATAAACCACATGATAAAAAATGTAGCGTTTGAAGTACACTTGGCAAGGAGTTGTTGCATTTTGAAATAGTATTTAGATAACGGATAAAACAGGGAACCATCAGAATTCCAAAATAATCACAATGAGTATGAACATTTTCCATGCCTCAGATTGTTTCAAGTGCCTTTGCCATATACCAATCTGAGCTGAATCTAGCTGTGTCTCTTCTAAGAATGCTTGGCTGCAGACAGAGCTTGATAAACGTTCAAAGGCCTTGGCTTTGAGCCCTAGCACCATAGAGAAACAAAAAGCACTTAGGAGCATCAGAGTTCAGTTCCCAGAACCCACCTCAGCAGGCTCAAAACTGCTTGTAAAGCCAGCTCAGGGGATCTGACACCTCTGGTCACTCTTGGCACCCACACATTTATACACATAATTAAAAACAATAACATAAATATCTTCAAAGTATTACAGAAAGTTAGATTGCCTAGCAGAAATGGAGACCCCAGTTTTAATCCCCAACACCACAAAAAGGAAAACAGAAACAGAATAAAAACAAACAAACAAAATAGGTTACTAGAGTTCTTTGGGACAGAGTAGAGATGATGATCTATGTAGGAGACTCCCTATGAGTAATGGCTTTATAAAACTGATTCTTTCTCACAATACAAATCTCTTTTGTTTGACCTAAGGAATGCAAACAATAAGCTGTTTTACTTACACCTGACCTGAACTTACGGAATGGCAACAATAAGCTGTTCTACTTAAATCCACTTCATTGTATTTCTTTTCTATAATAATTTATTACACTTGCTAATGTTGAAAAATGAAATTTCTTTTTTATACAGTCACACGCTAGTTTCCATTTCATCCGTTCTGCTGAAAGTGGCATGCATTAGGCTCCAATGGAACCCAGTTGCATCACAGTCAGTGGTCTCCAGTCTCTAAAACCCAGATATATCTTGTAACATGTCCAAAATTTAATTTAAAGTTCTTTCAGCCTAATTTAATTTAAAGTTCTTGGCTTCTCTAGAGATTCTTGTTGAACTCACTTGGCAAGGGAACCCAGATTGTGTTCTTAGAATTCATAAATATGTGGATAATGGTTATATGCACTTGAAGCAAAATCTCTTTAGGATTTTCAGATTCCAGGGATGGTTTATTAGAAGAATTTTACCTTTTAAGAATGTCTGAACTGTATAGATTAGCAGCCATGACTACTAACGGCTTTTCTGACATTTGAATAGGTTGCCTTCAAATGACACTCACCACCTAATTAGAAATGTAAATGTCTTCAGGATGCAAACTGAAGACAGTTATCCAGGACACACAAGAAGTTTGCTAGCTGAATCAAGGGCATTATTTTTAATTGAAACATAACATTTTTGACTAGAATTAAACTAAACTTAGCTATCCTAATGGCGATTTTCTGCTATACTGCAATTGTGAAAATTATTTCAAGCTTCATAACCCTGAACAGACTTTGTTATTTTAAATTTGTCATCAGAACTATTAAAGTACCAAAATTGTATTCTTTATTGATTGCCTTAAAGGTTTTTCCATTTGATTGAGTTGAGTTTCTTTTTAAAAATGTTTAAGCATACATTTTTAATTGCTACTATTTAAACTCAGCCTTATACACAATCCTGGTGTAGAATAAAAAGCCAAGACTGCCATTCCTTCTCATTGCTATGAATGTCCTATCCCTGGAGCACAGAGGCTGGCTTTTCTAAGTCAGAGGGTGGTGTCTGCCCTAAGAGGTGATGCAATTGCTACATCTCAGCATGTTGATGAAGTTAATTCAGGAGTAAATGTCTCTAGAGTGAAAGGTTGTAAAAAGCCAACAGAGATGAGCTTTGATGCTTCCCTGGCTGGTTAAACTCAAGTTCTGTTGTGTTCAGTTTCCTATTTCTGAAATTAATCCTAAAGTTTTGTCTGGAAATAAATGTTAGAGCAGATTCCTGACTTACACAAAACTGCTTCTGAGGTCCTATTTTTTGTTTAGTCTGTTGTGGCAGATCAAGCATCTACTGTTACATTTATCCTTCAGTCAAATCATTTTTTGTCTCTCATACATAAATCATCAAAGCAACATGTCTTGCGCTGTGTTTGTGCCGCCTTTTGTTTTTCATCTACTTCCTTTGTGGAGATCACAGTCTCAGAAGCAAAGGGAGGCTGTTATTTGCTTTTGACAGGCTATTGACTATCTATCACCTTCTGTTTGGAACACTGTAAAATATCTTGGCATTTTGTTTTATCTCTGGCTTTGTTTGGCTACTTTTCATGCTAGCCCCAACTCTATTCTGAGCACATATCTAGTGTAACAGTGAACACTTCTTATGCTTTGAATGTTTTGAGACTGCCCCAGTATTAAGACTATCTCTCCTCAACTATTTTAAAGAGTTGTGATTCTCATCTCTTTCTTTATAATGAGCTCATTTTGTTGTTTGCTGATTATTTTTTATTTTGGTTTACAAAATTACAAAAATATTCTATGTTGGGACTGTCCCAAATCAATTTTAATATCTGAGCTTAGGTCCTGGGGTTCAATATTCCCACCAGTTCCAGTAAAAGAGTGGTGTGATCAAACTTCATCAATAAATATAGAACATCAGAAAAATTAGGCTAGGGAATCTTGTTAAAAATATACATTTTAATGGAGGCTCTAGAAGAACAGAACTGTAGCCTCAGCTAGTCAGGAGGATGAGACAGAAAGATTCACATACCAAGGCATACCTGGGCTAGAGTGAGTTCAAGGCCAGCCTGGACAAACTAGTGATAACTTGCATGGAAATAAAAAGAAGAAAGAAGACTAGGGTTATAGATCA